CCCAGCCACTTGGTTCATTATTTTCTTCAGTAGTACCTTCTAAAGTATTATTTTCTTTTACAAAAGGTTCAGTCTCTTTAGTTTCCGAGGGAATACGATTTTCTTCAGTGTCTTTTTTGAAATCAGCTTTTGAAAGATTTTTAGGAGGGTCACCCCAAACTTTTTCTTCCTCAACCTGTTTTGGAGGAGTATCACTCCAGCCATCGAAATCTTTAGTATTTGAAGTCATTTTTGCTCGTTACGTACGTACGATACGTGAGAAAGGGTAATGTGGCTATCAAACATCAAATAAAGATTTTATAGATTAACCAATTATCACATAGAATAAACATCTCGTGATCATAAGTGATTATAAATTAGATTTTTGGGGCTTGTTTTTCCGGCTGTGTACTTGTGTGGTGGAGTACAATAGTACAATGAACAAGAATATAACTTTAATCTTATATTCTTATCGTTAAGATCGGAGGTTGAACCGGTTTTAAATAATATCTGTTAGAACCGGATTTACCATGAACTGATTAAAATCGGTTAAAAAATGAAAGGATCCACATGAAAATCGATAAAATTCTTTGTTTAATTTAGGATACAAAGTATTTTCTGTCATTGCCTTAAAGTTAAATAAAGTTAAAAGCATTTGCTTTGAAGGAGCAACTTTAGGCAACTGAAGGTACACCTGCCTAAGATTACAAACCAATGCGCTAATTTCGATCAAGTACGGACACCCTTGTAAATAATAATTGTGTGATAATTGTGATAAATCGAGTTTATCACATGTACAAACGCACGTGCGTTTTTGCCGATTACCTATTGGCTAATTCATAAATATATAGAGAATTATTTTTATATATTGGTTCGAAAAATAAATGTGCTTATATAAGTGATGTGCTTATATAAGTGATATGCTTATATAGATAAACATATATATATCAGATATAGAGAATAGATACGTATGCATTATCAAAATCCTTAACGCTAATATAGTTCAATAAATAAGTTATCCAATTAAACGAATTTCTCCCTATAACTATTTACAATAATGATGAGACGTTTACGGGAGTCCGTTTACCTAATATAAAAATAAAATTAGATCAAAGTATATATTATCCATTTTTGGTCAACGTTAACGTTTTTTGATAAGTCCAAAGTCGTGAATGTTTTTGATAAATCAGAAAATGCATTGATATATAATCACATTTTTCTTACGTATACGCCTACGTACAATAAATTACCGGAATGATACGTATTAAATACGAAAATTTATGCACCTGTATAAGGCAACGTTCTAATCGAGAAGTTGCCCTAAAAATTTTTTATATGCAAAATAATATTTACATATGTATTAGAACTTTCGATTAGAACGTTTCCTTGTAAAAATTTTTAAAAATCCATGAAAATCATTTAATAAATTTAAATAGTGCATAAATTTTCGTTTTTAATATCATATTCCAGTAATTTATTGTAATAGTCCTATTCTCCTATCACTATCTATTTTACATGCCATTACTACTGTACTATATAATTCCTTTCAATCCACACCATTGGTTCTTGGTTTTTCAACCACGCACCATCGTTCTCAAATTTATTCTCGAATACCAACTTTAAAAAAATTGAACGAATGCTCACATTCATACCTTTTTGATAGTTACTTTCGCATCAGAGTTTTCCATTCAAGTGTCATTTTTTCAATATCATATCGTCTATTCAGGTTATCACCTTCAGACACATTACAAATGCTTTGTTGAGATTAATCTTTATTGAAATCAGCAGGTGTTGCGCTCCGTCCTCAAATAAGTTACCTCCCAATTTACTATTTAGTCATTCTTCTAAATTCGGGTTCTAATACTGATTTTTCATTTGACCATTCTTTTTAATTCGGTTATTTTTTTCATCTATAAATCGTAGGTGAGATCCAAATTTTCTTTTCCAATCAAACTTTTATGTGAAATACACGTCACTTTTTTTCTATTTCATTTCTGTTTTCACAATAATAGCTAACGTCAAATATTCACCCATCTTCACTGGTTTCTGGGAATACTCATCATCACATGCTTCATTTATATAGTTGGTGAATTCTTTATAGTCATCTATTTCAACAACTATTCCATTTTGATGACAATAATCGAAATCTCATATTTTATTATCATAATCTCCAAGATCATATGTATCACTGTGATGGTTCATTTTTTAAAAGTGTTGGATGACTAATGGATCCTTCGTATTAATTTTACAGGCGTTGGATGACTAATGGACCCTTCGTATTCATCCTTTCTAACTCTATTTCCATCTTTAATATTATTCCTTGGGCTAATAACAAGTGGACTATTTTTGTCGAATTAATTTCTAATCAACTATTAAAGATACAAGGAACTCATCATATCCATTTAACCAAAATTTGATTTTAGATCATTGCAAAATGGTTTTTATAATATACTAGATGCTTCGACTTAGATTTTTATAATATAGATTAATTTTATGCATCGAAAAAATTTTTTGATAATTCCTCTTTGTAAAAAGTTTGGTTAATTGCGTTGATTTTAAACAACATTGAGAATTTTGATTTTTATAAAAAAAACTTAATCGATTTACTTTTGGCCAAATATACTTTAATCATTAAAAATAACAGTATTATAAAATTTTTAAGGTTATTATTGTAACTTTTGTAAGTTTCATATCGACATGTTATTGACCCATTTTATTTACCATCATCATAAAAAAAAAAACTAAGAGTCGTCAAACTCATTTATTACTCAATTTACTATACCATAAATATATCATAAAAAATCTGTACATAACACCCAAAGAGTTACGATGGTTTCTAATAATCGTGTAGATATTTGCATCTCATTATCATTATTATTAGGGGATTTCAAAGTTAACAATTGAGTGGCGCATTTTGAAATTAAACGAGAGTTTGAAAATCTTATTTGTATTTCAAAATTTTAAAATCGGAAAATGAAATAGGAGTGTCTAGGGATCCCCATTTAACGAAATAAATAGACAAAAATCATTATTTCAAATTTATCGGAAAATGAAATAAAGTTGATACATCGCTTATTTGAAATAAAATTGTATCCAATTTCAATTAAAATTAGATTTCCGCTTTAACTTTGAAACCTCCTATTGACTTTATTAACCCAATTACTTGAAACTTCAATGCCTTGAAATCGACTTTAATTTTTTAAAGTAATTAAATAAAAAATTAAACATGCAACATAATTTACAAAGCGTATGAATTATAAAATCATACCTTAATTTTAACCAAAAATTCAAGATAGTCATAGAACTACCTTTACCTCGGCGTGGCATCTAAAACGAATATATTTTAAATTGTACATTCATGGGTATTACGTTTCTGGTGTTAGTACAACTATCTAGTACAGCTATCTAATTATTTATAAATTCAATTATATACCTGAAATTCTAATACTAATAACAAATATCCATTATTACTATCTAGTAATAAATTCTTTGAATCGGCCTTAACGCTTCATTGATTTTTCTTGTAATTCTTTTTTTATGTCGTTACTAGGATTAGCAGCTGGTTTTTTGGATTCTACCACCAAAAATTGGATAATAGTTTCTTTCATCAAGCGCGTTCTAACGACTGCATTAGTCTTATGCCAATTTAAATCGAATAGTATGTTTTTAATATTCCCGTTATTGATAAAATTTCCAAGATTCATTTCAGTAACCATTGAAGAAAGTTTTATGATGTTCTCATTAAATGCTCATCTTCATGTAAACCTTGCCTGCAGTGGCGAAAGCACTATAACAAAATTTTAGATTAATATAAGTATTGTAATATTAATTAACTAGTTTTCGTTTGTACATACTTTGATTATTATAACCAAAAACAATTAAAAATGATATTGGTTTAGAATCTGTTGTTTACTTTTCTTTCATTAATTATACTGGATTTGATAAAAAAAAACACGTTATTTTTTTTGATAAGAATTGACTATCAAAACATGATTTATATAATGTATAGATCTTACGTACGTGATTACGTGATTATCCGTGATTACCAGTGATTACCCGTGTTAATTAACCAATTATATTATAGCATTATGGTGGAACTTATCACAAACGCGTGAATGTACATGTTTTCGTTACACTAAATTACAAAAAACTATTGTTCTATTTACCAAATCCGAAGGTTTCGATAATTTCCGAAACCTTATTCGAAACTCGAAACCTCACCCGAAACCCAAAACCCTATCCGAAACCTCTTCCAAAATTTGAAATTCCTAAACTCCAAAACCTTATGATTGCAATAATTTAGAATGCTTATCGATTCGAAAAATCGTCAAACGTCTAGGTGTTAGCAAATATTTTATAAGTCAGTTTTCAATGATATGGATGTATTGAAAAGCCTTCGCAATATTTTATCGATTTTTTGGAATCTTGAGTTATATTTAAGCCAGTTGACGAATTCTTGATCATATACCTTTCTTTTTTTCAATATTAGCACCTATTCGTGTGGTATGTTTATTATAAAAGTATATTTTATATCTGGAGCCAAGATTTATTTGTTAACAACAGCCTTTTTCATAAACTTTTGCACAAACTAAACACACCAAACATTGCTAAACAAGTATTCAAACGAAAGTTTAATAATGTTGAATGTGTCAACATTACAATGATATAGAACGGGAAATACTTCAGTTAAGAATAAAATAAAATAAAAATAGCCCAATCAAATCTCAAATTATTTCAAAAATTGAATTTTGGTTGGCTAAACAAATTATTTTGGTCATGTCGGAACAAATGAATTTTATTTTAAAAGTATTCCGTATCCCTGAAAAACAAGTATTTAATATAAAAATATTTATTCAAAATTCAATAACTTAAACCGGAACTGGCGAAAAATCATTCGCTTAACATTTTATCAAATGTCTCAGGATTTATGAAAACAGTTGTAATATGTATATGATATAGTATATGTGTTAGGGAAATAAGTAAAAGTGTCGGGAAATAATATGATTTTTAAAAGTTCGGATTATAGTCTGAAGTTTCGGATTATAGTTTCGTTTTTTAAAAAAAAAACCGAAACTATTTAAGGATTAGAGCTTTCCGAAACTAGTTTCGGGGGTGAATTTTTAAAAAACATATGAATATTTAATATAATCTGCCTAATCAAAAAAAGACATTAACAAAAGTATGCTAATTTTTTTGAAACAGAGAAAATTTACAAATGCTTAAGATTTTATATTGTGGTTTCAGAATTAA